ATTAAGAAACATTGAATGCAAACCTGTTTGCATAACTTTTTTGTACACTTGGGAACCTGAGGGTTAAATTGAAATTGGTTTGAATACTCACATTAACACATTGTTTATATTAGTCGGTTTCTTGTATCTTATCAAAGAGTTAAGACTGGTAGAACAATTCAATTGTGCCGCTTTATTAAGGGATAATAGAAACTTCATCCGTGCCACTCGATTCAAATATTGCTCGGGCAACAAATAAAAGGTTTCATTGAGTATCTGAAACATGTTTTTTTGTGTTTTTAAATCAAACAAATCGTTTGAATCATGAATCATTTATGTTATATTAGAACAATTTAAATTTTTATATTGATTGCATTTTATTTTCATGAAGATTTCAGTGCATTTTGTGATTCTCCATTAACAATGTACCTGATCAGACATTTATACAGAATTAACTTTACAAAAAATGTTTTGAGAAAATAATATATATATTAAATAACAGACCTTTCATACGATGGAAAATATCTTCAAACCATTTTAGCAAACAAAATGATACTCTGATATAAGACTGGTAATCCCTTCCTTATCAAAAGTTCAGGACATTCTGATCAATTGAATGGTTTCGTCGTATCCATTTGATTTACGCAATCGTTTGCTATGAAATAATGATGGGATTGAATTATATAGCTAAAATTCATAGTAAAAAAGGCGAATTCCAAATAACTAACACTTTCATTTCAACAATAAATCATTTTATCAATATATTATTCTTAACCTATCAAACAATCACTATGCATTCTGGAATAATGCCATTTAGTATGTCTCTGACTTAAGAAGAGATTAATTTTTTAAAAGGAGTAACAAACGAATATCGCACGTGGAGTATCAAATTAACGCAACAACAAATTCAAAACAAAAGAATTTATTGATCACATATTTGAATTGGAGCACGTATAAAAACATTAATAATAATAATCAATATACTTTATTGACCAAAGTATTGATTTAAAGCGATTATCAAAAGTATACAAAATAATGAAAAAAATACATTCAAAAAATAAAAAAACATAAAATGACAAAATATTGTTAAAAAATATGTGTGGTGGCAGAGATTGCTAAACCGATTAGGGGAAATCACCTGGTACGTTGGCACGGAGTGTTAACTGAGGGTTTTTTCTTCATAAGTAAAGCAGAATAGTGGCCAGCTGATCATAACAGGATCGCTGTGACTTAAATCCAAACAACACAAGGGTTTCAAAATATTAAGCAAAAGCAATTCGATAGCATTTCTAATCATTCCTGTACCTGTACTCCAATGAAACAAGCTAGCAATGTTATGTTTTCTCAAATCATTTAATAATGTTAAGTATGAAAGTGTAATAATAAACTCCCGTCATTAGGCTTGTACATTGAGAAACGAAAGTTTTCAAAAATTTCCAGCACAAGGCTTTTCGAAGTTCATTTCAAATTAACAACAAGAAGTAAATAGATTAAAATAGGGGGGAAAGATGGAAACTTGAATCAGTCAGATTATGAAACATTTACATCTGTTATTATAACAATGTAGCTTTATAAATATTTATTATAAGATTAATATCTTATTCCAAAAAACAAGGATAAATCATTTCACGCTTCAAGGAATTGGAAAAAGTAGTCTTACTTTGAATTTATGTGCTAAAAAATGTAGTATTTGTTGTTGTTGTACAGTGTTTCCCCTATGATATATAAATTGTATTCTTAGACCCTAATAAAATGTAACTATAAGCTTTCACTGTTACAGTAAATGATATACTAACATATTTGATTCAGAACAAAACCTACAACCGTTTTGATTAACTTACAGTTGTGTAAAAAAGAAGAATTTCCCGAAGGTTATCCGACACAGCAATGATGCTTAAAGTCGATTTCGACGCCAGAATTGTATATATTAATAAATGTATTATGAATAAAGAAAAATCCTTAAATGTGCTTTGATCCATTTCGCTTAAAACAGGTTTTGAACCAAAAAATTGCATCTGAATAATTACAAGTCAAAAGGCAGAGATGTAAATAAAATGGAATTTATATTTGAAAAAAAAGCCCTGCAATATTAAAAATCATTTTAAGGCAAATTGTTTGCATAAATAAGAATTTGTTTTCTGAAACAATGGCTATTTCGTTTAAATAGTAATTGCATACATATTTCATGAAGATTCTACTATAGTTTCCCTTCCTCGATTTTTTACGAATTATCATTGTAATATTTTACAATTCACTTCTTCATTACAAGTCATGAATCAGTTGCAAACAATAACAATAGAAAATGGCGACGATTTAGTAACGTTGAATGCAAACCTGTTTGTAATGTATCATAAACCTTTAATGCGATATGAACATTTTTGCATACCTCTTTTTGCACACTTGTAGGTGAAATGCATTTGCTTTAAATAATCATATTAACACATTGATTATAAGTAAGTCGGTTTCCAGTACCTTATCAAAGATCTAAGACTGCCATAACAGTTTAATAGTGTCGCTTTATAAGGTGATAATAGAAACTTCATCCGTGCCATTCGATTCCAGTTTTTGTACGGTCAACAAGTAAGAAGTTTCATAAAATATCTGATAAATGTTGCTTTTTTAAATCAAACAAATCGTTTGCATCATGAATCATTTATATTAAAAAGAGCAATTTTAATTTTTATATTGATTGCATTTTATTTTTATGAAGATTTCAGTGCATTTTGTCATTCTATATGAACAATGTACTTGATCAGACATTTATACAGTATTAACTTTACCAAAAATGTTTTGTGAAAAAAAGTATATATATATCTAATAACAGACCTTTCATAATATATTGTAATCATTTTAGCAGATAAAATCAATAAGGATCATCCTCTCCATACATTAAATCTATACTTATCAAATTTTTAAGACATTCTGATCAATTGAATGGTTTGTTGAATCTATTTTTTAATTTTAAACAATCGGTTGCTAGAAAATATAAAAAGGGATTGATTTATAAATTTCCCAAAAAATTTATTGGGGCAATAATAGCAAAAAAAATTCTAAAATTTTCTAACAAATTTTGTTTTTAAAAAATAAAAAATTTTATAAAAAATTTTATTCTTAACATAACGAAAAAATCACTAAGCTTTTAGAATTATTCCCTTTTTTCACGTCCCCTTGGGCTTAAAAAAGAGGGGGAAAAATGAAAAGGATAGCACACAAACCCAACAAACTGAGTAACAAATTAACGAAAAACAAAAAATTTTCCAAAGAAAAAAAAGAGTTTTAAAAAAATCACAAAGGGTATTAAACTTTTAAAAAAAATCAAAAACTCAAAAATTTTTTTTAGAAAAGCTGATTTTAAAATCTATTTAAAATTTTAACTTTAAACTCAATCTAGTCGACATTCATGGAAAGAAACTTAATTACAAACTACCAAATTAAAATATATTCACAAGAAATGATAAATATTAACAGGAGCTACCACACGACGCAAATACGGGCGTTATTTTTACATCAGAAATTGAAATCATACAAAATACATTAAAAAGTGTCGCTAGGACTCGTGTGTAGGGGAAAGAGGCTGGATGCCGGGTACAGGGAGGGAGTTCAATTTTGGCACAATAGGAGGAAGGAGATATTTACCGTCGACATCAGAACAAGAAATATATTTATAAGGGAAGAGAGCCTTTCGCAGCACGCAACCCTAAATAACGTTGAGACAAACTCGGTCACCAAACTGAAATTGAACAAAGGAAATAGCGCACAGGGCGGAAAGAGGGGGTGATATTGCAAAGTAATAGATACAAATATAAACAAATAAGGACCAATTTTTTAGACCATTCACAGACCTTGGTATGCACCTTATTTACTTTTGTCAAACTATAATTTAATGTTGCTTTTTAAGCCTTTCGAAAAAAAACTATTTATATTAGTAAAAAAAATCCAGCATATTTTATAATCTGGTCAATTTATTATGCTCTAAGTGCAATTCATTTAAACCACATATTATTGCGCAAATACTTCTGGTGATATTATGAATCTTTTTAAAACAGAAATGAAATAAAATGTGTTCACATTTACAAAACATCTAATTTTTTGAACAAAATATTTAGAGTGGCGGCATGGACGAGTGGTAACGCGTCGGACTAGTAATCTGAGAATTGCTGGCCACCTGGATTCAAACCTGGTTAGGGGCAAACTGTTGTTTCGGTAAGCAAGAAACTTATTAGAACTGGTTGCTTCAAAGAAAAAATCGAGAGTGTTTCAATTAGCTTAGAACTTTCAACACAACACAATCAAACTAAAATACAATTAGTATAAACAAAACATAACATCGACTTTAACATATGTTGTAATATTGAAACATTCTCATGAATGAATTACTAGAAGATTTTCGTTAACACATCGTCTTGAACTAAAACGTTGCTTAATCGTTTCTAGCAAGATGACATGACATATGCGCAATTAAAATTAATATCTTAAGCAAACAACGTCTTACCACTAACGAGGACACAACATAATTAACATTATTTTGATCAGACCACTTTGAGAACAACAATAAAAACTGATTAACAATCTGTGTAATCACTTGAGTTTTACTTTGATTCTTTATTGAAATGAAGGTTATAGTCAATTGTTTGATATACATAAATTCCTTTAAATTGGGCACTATTCTTTGTTTACAGGGTTAAACCAGAAAAGATTAATTTTTTAATACCCTAATGAACAAAGTTTCTATTTCATCTTTACTTATTGCCGGGGGGCCAAAAAATTGTTCCACCGGTTTAATGAAATTCTATTACAAACTATTCTTAAACAAATCTTACTCACACAATTTAATCTCGGTTTACAAACGTTAAACGCTTAAATAATTTAGAAATACAACAAATTGATACATTGATCATTTCAGCATTAAACACTCCCGGGTAAACAAAGTTGCTAATATTTATTTGAGGGGGTCAAAATATAAAATAAACATATTATCCCTGGTCATTAAAAAGCATTAATTTACTTAGAATTTTCGTACGTATCCTGGTTGAACTTACATAATTTCTTTCAACAAATATTAAATTTTAAAGTAAACTAAAACATCGCGAGTCGGTTGTGTCGCCTTGTATACAATATAGTTTAGTAGAAATGGCCAGGAAAAGAAATGAAATATGAAAACTAACAAAAGGCAATAACTAAAAAAAATAGGTGCAGAGCAGCGTATCTGTGCATTGGACTTCTTATCAATAAGATCAATCATTCTCTGATAAGTTTCAAGTCTATAGCTTTTATTATTTATGAGAAATGGCTTGGACAAAAATAAAGTATGAACGTTAACAAAGGGAAATAACTCAAAAATAAGGAAGTGCAGAGTATCGGTTCTTGTGCACTGCACTTCTTCTTAATAAGATCTATAATCCTATGAAGTTTCAAGTCCATAGCTTTTTATAGTTGAAGAGAAATGGCCTGGACAAAATTAAAGTATGAAAATTTACAAAGGGCAATATCTCAAAAATTAAGAAGTGCAGTGTTCCGGTCCTTGTGTACTGCACTTTGAGTTATGAAAAGAAGCATGAATACCAAGTTTGAAGTCAATCCGACTTATGGTGACTGAGTTATGCTCCAGACAAGCTTTAAAGGACGCCGACAACGACGCCGACAACGACACCGCCGCCGCCGACAAAAGTAACCCCTATATGTCGCCTTTTCAACGCGACACAAAAATTGAGAATGAATTAAAGTTCACAATTTAGCCACATTTTTGATAATACATGTATTACTGTATTAAAGCTGCAAAAAAAATGTTCTAAAATTTTCAGAAAGGTTAAAGCATTCAAGATCCAAGTAATATGTTAGATGTTATATGCGGTTTAAGCCTGCTTATGAAGTATCTTATCACCATAATCCTTTTGCGATACTAACGCAGTAAGGGCTGTTTTAGCAGATATATTGACCACATTTTGGTATTTTTCTTGGATTGTAAGTGCGCATTGCAGGATGTAAATTGCTTCTTTTGTTCATCTCACAGTATTTTACTTTTGAATACATTTAAAAAACTTTCATGAAAATTAACATTAATCTGGACGCGTGCTGCTTTAAATATACTCATATATAATGTAGTCGGTTCCAGGTTACATTTTATTTCTCACAGAACCGATCTAATTTCTTTTCACCTTCATATGAACATTGCGAATAGAAGAATGGTGACCCCAACACGTTTTCCAGTTTATACCAATAGCATACTGATTGTCATATCCAGGTAAGTAAAGTCCATTCAAATTACTTTCATGGCAAGCTTTGTACCACCATGCTCCTCTGTATATTTGAGCGCAGTTGTAATTCCATAAGTCGTTATCCCTGTCTTTAGTCGAGAACATATTTCCATCATGTACACTGAGACTATCACCACAGTTTCCGGAGAAACCATTTACATGCAATCTAAAATTTGAATCTTCGTCGTCGACTCTGAACGTGTTATATTGTGCATAAGCATTGGTAGGTGACGCATTAGCAAGTGTAGTTGACCTGTCTTCAAACGCTTCCATTTCAATTCTTAAGGAACTGTCGACAGTAGCTAGCCCATGTATATTCTCAAGGCCAAGCCAGTACTCGCCAGATATGTCACCGAATCCACAAACATAATCTGTCCATGTTCTGTAGAAATTTTCTGACCCATCCAGTCGGCGTTGAATAACTGTCCATCCACCATTTTTCATATCGCACCATGTCTTTATGCTTAGGCCACAGACAGGTTTTATTGTATATATACCGTCCTCCTTAAATCCTTTTTCAAAAAGTGCAAGGCAATCCTTCTGTTCTGTAAATCAAACATGCAAACTGAATTAAGAAAATATAAAATGAATAACTAGCCCAAAAGACCTTACCCATATCAGTATCAACTTGTAAAGAATAAATATTACATTTCGCATTAAAGTGTAATATAATTCAGTCTATAATTCAAGATGTTTCGATTGCAAACAGAGAAATAATCAACCCACACTTTTTTTAACTTCCCATATTCTAATTGGACTTCTGTGTAATGTTTATATGAGTGTACAATGTGATTTTCATTGTTTGTATATGCTGTTATTGTTAATCGATTCGATAGCTAATTGTGAATGATCATCCCTAAAGTGGCTACAAGCATCTGTATTTTTATGCAACTGTTTGCAACCTTAAGCGTTCAAAACTTCCGCGGGTTTAATAGTTAAAATGTAAACACCTTGTTTGCATCTTCAAAGGTTGAGCATAGAAGGCAAAAATAAGCAAATAATTGTCTGAAGATAACAATTACAGAAACAAAACAGGCACATAAACGGTTAAGACATGCAACAAAGGTGCACCAATTGTCCAAACATCTACAAAAAAACCACTTCAGAAGTGGTAAGATGGCTACACATCCATATTAATGTAGTGAACAAACTGGGGAAAACATTTGATAGGATCAGATTAAATCAACATCATTGCCTGTACGCATTTGTTCAATTTTTTCGTCACTAGTAAACATCTAAACGTACTCAAAGTAAAACATAAAAACATCAAAAGCTAGATTGAATTAAAGGGATGAGTTGATGCTATTTCAGCTATGTAACTGTAACAGTTCAATTAGAATTTCTTATCATTAATGTTTGTGTTTGGGATAACAAAAACGGCACATATATTATTTTGTTACATTGATAATTGTTTCATTTCTTGTCTTCCTTTTTCTCTCTTGATAAGTTTTTACCCTTCCCGTAATTGATAAATAAATATACGGAAGAACTTGGCGGCCCAGCGGCCTGACGGCTTGAAGTTGGCGGCCTGGCGGCGTGAAGTTGGCGGCCCAGCGGTCTGGCGGCGTGAAGTTAGCGGCTGGCGGCCTGACGGCGTGAAGTTGGCGCCAAGCGTCCTGGCGGCCAAAAATTTTAATGTTGTAGACATGTTATTTAATAATAAAACGGCATTTAATGAAGTTTTAATGATAATTATTGTTATTTAAAGGATATATCAAGCAAAAAAATCATTTTCAGAGAACCTATTTTGTCATTTTTGTGAAGTTGGCGGCCCAGCGGCCTGGCGGCCAAAAGTTTTAATGTTGAAGAAATGTAATTTTAACAATAAAACGGCATTTAAATGAAGTTTTAAAGAAAATTACTGTTATTTAAAGGATATATCAGGAGAAAAAATCACTTTCAGAGAACTTTTTTATTTTGTCATTTTTGTGAAGTTGCCGGCCCTGTAAAGTTGGTGTCCCAGCGGCCTGGCGGCGTGAAGTTGGCGGCCCAGCGGCTTGGCGGCGTGAAGTTAGCGGCCTGGCGGCCTTACGGCGTGAAGTTGGCAGCCTAGCGGCCAAAAATTTTAATGTTGTAGACATGTTTTTTTAACAATAAAACGGCATTTAATGAAGTTTTAAAGATAATTATGTTATTTAAAGGATATCTCAAAAGAAAACATCATTTTCAGAGAACTTTTTTATTTTGTCATTTATGTGAAGATGGCGACCAAGCGGCCTGGCAGCAAAAATTTTAATATTGTAGAAATGTTATTTTAACAATAAAACGGCATTTAATGAAGTTTTAAAGATAATTATTGTTATTTAAAGGATAAATAAAAAGAAAAAATCACTTTCAGATTTTATTTTTATTTTGTCATTTTTGTGAAGTTGGCGGTTTTGATATCTCCTTTAAACAACAATAATTATCTTTAAAACTGCATTAAATGCCGTTTTATTATTAAAATAACATTTTTACAACGTTAAATTTTTTGGCCGCAAGGCCGCCCACTTCACGCCGCCAAGCCGCTGGGCCGCGAATTTCACGCCGCCAGGTCGCTTGGCCGCCAGCTTCACGCCGCCAGGCCGCTGGGCCGCCAACTTCACACATCTCGATTTTAAACCTATATAATTTTTATAAAAATCTATACACGAGTCGAATAAACTATTATACAACGCCGAACGTATACATAAATTAATTTAAACATGTGATATAATAAAAACAACAACATATATTTGCAACCTCCCTTTGAAATTAAAAGAAATAATAAACTAAACATACCAGTAACAGGACGGTATGCAAGCATTGACCCAGGCTCCTGTTTATACGATATCGTTCCCGTAACAAAATATGTATCACACAGACGAAATCGTCTTCTATAGACCATAACATTTATGTGAGTTTTGTTATTTCGGAAATGATTCAAACATTCTGTATAACTCACATCTGATATAGATGTTAAGCACGATTTTGTCTCCAGTCCATGATTATAGATAATTGTTTCATCTTGAGCATCTATCAACAAATTTGTGAACAAATGAAACAGATAATAACATATAATCCTACAAGCATGCATTTTGTTCAGCACTCTAAACAGCTTTTGCCTTCAGTCACTTACATTAAGTCATTTTTTCTAATAGCCATTACATGATACATGCTAAATACTAAATGCTAAGACATTAAACGTAAAGCGTTTGTAATCAAGCCGGAATGCAACTCTCTAGGCGCGTTTCTACAGCGTATTTATTATCAACTGTAAAGCAGCAAATGACGAAACAAATAAAAACCATATTAACATTGTGATCTCTATTCGTCTGTGTGTAATATGAACACAGTTTTCGTCACAATGGCTTAATTGTCTGTTATAGGGAAGCAGCCTATATATAATGCATGACTCTTTCAAATGTATGGAATACTTGATAGCTCATTATCTCTATAGAGACATTTATGTTAAGTGTACTAGATTTTTGTTTGTGCACACACGCGCACACACGCACCAACGCACGCACCAACGCACACACACGCACAACATACATGTATATGTATACGATGCATTTTTTTCGGCGAAAGGATATGCATTCAAAGAGAACTAATTTTTAATTCACATAATCAATTGACAAAAGATATGAAAAAAAATATACATTTTGTATATGAACTAAAGAGGATCTCAACGAGCTGTATACATGTACGATTACATTTTGCAATGGCGTTTTTAATACTTTGAAACACATCCAGCTTTTTTTAAAAGTAAATATTGTATACAACTTTATTCATGTGCAAGCACTATCAATAAAACGTTAAGCAGTTGAAATTTAAATGAGCCGCGCCATGACAAAACCAACATAGTGCGTTTGCGACCAGCATGGATCCAGACCAGCCTGTTCATCCGCGCAGTCTGATCAGGATTCATGCTGTACGTTACCAGTTTTTTACTTGTAATAGGGTTTGTAAGCGAACAGCATGGATTTTGATCACACTGCGCGGATGTACAGGCTGGTCTGGATCCTTGCTGGTTGAACACGCATTATATTGGTTTTGTCATGGCGCGGCTCAAATAACACATGTATGTCATAAAAATAAAAGTCACGGGATCTGGCTACTAGCTTGTCAATACAGTTGAAACAGACATATAATGATTGTCGCCTAAAATAAAAGTAAAATATATTATATAGTTCCTAAAAGCAAGAGAGAGTTCCGTTCCTTGCATACCATCTAATGTCTCATTTATATAATTTGCTTTGGCACATTCTAAACTATCAATTCTAATACGTCTTTTTTCCTCTTCTTTTTTCACAGTCATCACAAAATCGACGTTAAAGTGGTGACCAGCAATAACATAATGAGACATCCTCTTCCGTCGTTACTGCTTGAAACACTGCCGTTGTCACCATCGGTGTCGTCATCTTAAAATATATAGATACACCTTCCTAAAGAGTAGTAACATAAATGAATATACACCGATAATCTTGTACCCAAAGTTTGAAAATCAAAAACTTATTGACAATTTAAAAAAAAGTAGTACGCAGGCAACTGAAACCATGCGATATTTATATATTAGAGGGTGCATGTGAGCTTTTAATAAGAAACTGATATAAAAACATATACTTCTATTAAACCTATACTAAATATATTCAGACACACGCACGCACGCACAAACACACACATACACACAAAGAAAAAATAAATACGTGACAAAGCAGTAGATAATAACTGAACTAAGTTCAGCCGTATAGAAGAGAACTCATGTGGATTTAAATAACATAAAAGGTAACCGCCAGCGAATATTCATTCAAATCTATTAAGCATCTGTTGGACACAAACTTTGCTGCGTTCAATGAATACGGTGTCTCTTGTTTATCTGTCTGTAATATTTATGAATTTGCAAAAGATTTTATCAGTCACAATTTTGTAATTTTGTTATGTAAGTGAGCGCTAGACCATGACAAAGGCAAAATGTTGATTTTACGGATTGGTGTTGACAAACAATATAGCAATTTACGCAGTGTATAATAATATAAACTGCACTTAAAAATATTCGATAATCAAAATTTTCCTACCCACAGTACAAGTTGGAACGCTCGCAGACCAACTTCCGGTTGACAAACACGTGATCATATTTGTACCATTTATTTTATAGCCTTCCTCACATTGGAATGTTACGTTATTTCCAAACGTAAGACCACTAACATTCAGTGTACCATTTGTTGGCGCTTCAACCTCACCACATTCTGTAAAGAATAAAATTTAAATACCAAACTATTACCGACTTCATAAAGTTGTATTTGTTTCCTGCAGAAATACAGTCGCGTTAAAATCTGTTAGATTAAAGACAGATGTGTTTGTTTTTTCCATTTGTTGAGGACGTTTTACTTCACGGACTTTTTTGAACATAAAATACATTAAAATGTTACGGACATTAACATTGTTGGTTTACTAAGTCTTGTTATTATTTCAAATCAATCTTATTATTATCGTGTGATGAAGATCAGAGTTTAAACGGTAAAATAAAGTGTTTAAAAATATATATATATGAGCCGCGTCACGACAAAACCAACATACGCATGGTAGTGCGTTTGCGACCAGCATGGATCCAGACCAGCCTGCGCATCCGCGCGGTCTGATCAGGATCCATGCTGTTCGCTTATCAATCCTATTACAAGTAGAGAAACTGACAGCGAACAGCATGGATCCTGATAAGACTGTGCGCAGGCTGGTCTGGATCCATGCTGGTCGCAAACGCACTATTGGCGCGGCTCATATAAAAGTGTAGACAGGGGAACACACCAACTAGCTTGCAACGGACATCGACTTTCCAATTTACTGTTTCCATACAGACTGGTTGACTACCGCTAGAGACGCTGTATCCGTCATAACACTCCAATGTTGCAAAGGCGCCAATTTCTGTACCATTTACTGTAGTATTTAAATATCCATTCGTTTGTTCCGGAGGTTCGCCGCAGTCTTAAATGGTATCGAAAGAAATGAGAAGATGTGCAATAAGGAACATCCTTTCATTCATTGCCGAAGCAAATGTATATAATTATTATATATAATCAAATTGTCATTACTGTGGCCGAAATAGGATCGAAGATAGTTGTGTAGGTTAACACTCATGTGCGTAGCACGCGTTGCCTTTTATCATTTTATAGGGACTCCATTAATATGGTTTCTGATATGACGAAACTTGAAATATTTGTTCAAAATGTGTACAGGTGCCACTTGATAAAGGTCTAGAAAGAATATTAACGTTGTGTGCAACAAAAAAAAAACAAAACAATCAAATCACTTGCTAAAACTCTTGTTGCCAGAAATACCATTTTAACGATGTAACTCTGGATTTCAAATTTTCTATTGAAGGCCTTTGTACCATTGTGGAGCTCCTATAAAATTCATATATGACATATTCGCGTGCCACTTAAAACTGTAATAAGAAATTTGCATTGCTCATGTTTTAGAATGTTTACATTTCAACAATACAAATCGTGCAATTTAGAGAAAATATAATACTATGAAATGATATAAAATCAGATTCTAGCAATAAAAAGCATTTTTAAAGTTGGTATTAACTAACCTCCATTTATCCAGCTATGGAGGATTCCAATGCCATTATGGGCTGCGTCGGCATAAGTTCCTCCCCCAAATGTGTCAGGTATACATAACAAAGCTCCTAAATATAAAACAAATAAAGATTATAACATATTCATTTACAATTAGTATGTTCCATAATGTTTTTAAAGGTTATAAATCGGCCATTCCGACTAACCATCAGATTTCACTATGTATTACATATGGATTTTTTATGGACCCTCTACGATTCGCCCTTTGTCTAATATGGATTTTCCAATATACCTTTTAATAGCCAGTCAATCAAATAGTCAGTTATGGAGAAGCATTGGACAAAAGATAATTAGTAGGAGTCATGCATACGCTACTAAAAATTGTGTCGCAAACAAACGACAAACATATCTTCCGAATGTTCATACCCTAGCAGATTAGATTCTTTCATGTTTATGGTATATATAAAGTTTTAACGTTGTTTCAAATGTCATTTTCACTGAAAGCATGGTAGCCACTATTTCTGTTTGTCCGAGATTATGAATATCACGCGAGTTATATTAGATAACAAACTTAAAGTTAAAAATAACAATACAAAAGAATAAAGCTATCCGACTTATGGATTAGCTACTTTAATGCTTAAATTCATTGAAGTAAATTTAGTAATCCTAAGAGAGCCACTTTCCAGACATTGCTCAATATATTATTCGAAAATTAAGATAGACACTACTGATCATTCAAAATGATTCATTATTTTCAGAAATTTATACAGCCATGCATCGTAGGTTAAGTTTTAATACAATAAATATATGAAACAACCTTCACAGATACATGTACTGACAAGAGTTTACATCTACAAAATTAAAGAAAAGCCATGCTCAAATTTGATACTTTAAAATGCAATATTGTCTATTTTTAAATATAAAATAAGACAAACACATTTAAATACACACAGAGAAGATATGTTACAATGTAAAACAGTATGAATACATAGTGTTATATATGAGAAAAGAAACAACAAAACATGCAAAATTTAAATCATCAGAAAGAGGGAATGCAGCTTTCAAAAAAACATAGTATTTTCTAGGAAACAGTGTGTAACATAAATGGAACATTATAAGCAATTAATCTATTATAATAATAATTATTATTATAGTGATATTTATAGAAGTAACTGTTATTCGTATCAACTACTGAAACCTTAAAAACCTAAATATATATAAATCAATATGGTCATATCATCTTTAGGTAAAGCACAGAAATTCATTGAAATTAATAAATTCTCAAAAACATTTATTTGAAATATTTAAATGTTATGTTACCAAAATCTTCGTATGAATGTTTGAAGTTTATAGGTTTATACAATAGCAATTGTCTTTCCTCAGTTTTCAAACTCCAACTTCTTGTCGCATAAGCGACCGTGAAACCACCGAATATGCATTTCGGCACATTTGTTTTGTTTTCAATGTAGCCGTATCTGTCGGCGAGGAACGCTGTCGATGGAAACCGGAAGTCCTTGTTATGACTTGATACATCCATAATCTGTGCCTGTTGTTTAAAAGAATTGTAAAATGTAAAAACTATATACTGTACAATTATTTTACAAAACAGTGAGAAAAACATTCTTTTTACAATTTTGAAAAATAATCTTGCTTTGGTAAAAATTTAGTATGGTTTCAAAGCTGTATGCCTCCAAGTGGGCCAAAATATTTCAAAAACATTAAACTTGAGAAATATATACTAAGATTTTAAGAAAAGTAAAATAACATAGAAAAGTAAATAAATTCACAATTAAAGAAATAATTTACATGTACATGTTATATGCCATAATCGACTGTTTTTTTCTCACCGTAGCCACAGTAAGTCCATTTCCAAGATCATAGTTTACGAAAAAGTCGACATAATCCAATATTCGGTCCTCCTCCAGCGAAAACATATACGTAAAAAAAGGAGTGATCGTTGATATTTTCCATGCATAAATTTCAAGTACAGCCTCTGAGATGATCATGTCGAAATATGTGTCTCTTCTGCCATCAAATATTGCTGAAATAAACATAACCATTCAAATATTGCTAGAATTAGCATAACCAATCAAATATATTTCTGAAATAAAGATAACCAATCAAATATTGCTGAAATAAACATAACCAATCAAATATTGCTGAAATAAACACAACCATTCAAATATTGCTGAAATAAACAAAACCATTCAAATATTGCTGAAATAACGATAACCAATCAAATATTGCTGAAATAAACATAAGCAATCAAATATTGCTGAAATAAACATAAGCAATCAATAATGGCTGAAATAAACTTAACCATTCAAATATTGCTGAAATAAACAAAACCATTCAAATATTGCTGAAATAAACATAACTAATCAAATATTGCTGAAATAAAAATAACCAATCAAATATTGCTGAATTAAAACAAAAACAATAAAATATTGCTGAAATAAACATAACCAATCAAATATTGCTGAAATAAACATAACCATTCAAATATTGCTGAAATAAACATAACCATTCAAATATTGCTGAATTAAACAAAACCATTCAAATATTGCTGAAATAAAGATAACCAATCAAATATTGCTGAAATAAACATAACCAATCAAATATTGCTGAATTAAACAAAAACAATAAAATGTTGCTGAAATAAACATAACCATTCAAATATTGCTGAAATAAACAAAACCATTCAAATATTGCTGAAATAAACATAACCAATCAAATATTGCTGAAATAAACATAACCAATCAAATATTGCTGAATAAACAAAAACAATTCAAATATTGCTGAAATAAACATAACCAATCAAATATTGCTGAAATAAACATAAACAATCCTAATATTGCTTCGAAATAAACATAAACCCATTCAAATATTGCTGAAATAAACATAACCAATCAAATATTGCTGAAATAAACATAACCATTCAAATATTACTGAAATAAGCAAAACCATTCAAAATATTGCTGAATTAAACAAAAACAATCAAATATTGCTGAAATAAACATAACCAATCAAATATTGCTGGAATAAAACATAACCATTCAAATATTGCTGAAATAAAGATAAACCAATCAAATATTGCTATAATAAACGATAAACCGATCAAATATTGCTGAAATAAACATAACCATTTAAATATTGCTAAAATGAATATACACAATCAATTATTGCTAAATTTAGCATAACCAATAAAATATTACTGAAATAAACAGAACCAATCAAATATTGCTGGAATCAAATATTGCTGAAAAAAACCATAGCCAATTAAATATTGCTGAAGTGAGCATAACCAATCAAATATTGCTGAATTAAACAAAAACAATCAAATATTGCTGAAATAAACATAACCAATCAAATATTGCTGAAATAAACATAAACAATCAAATATTGCTGAATTAAACAAAAACAATCAAATATTGCTGAAATAAACATAAACAATAAACATATTGCTGAAATAAACATAACCAATCAAATATTGCTGAAATAAACATAAACAATCCAATATTGCTGAAATAAACATAACCATTCAAATATTGCTGAAATAAACATAACCAATCAAATATTGCTGAAATAAACATAACCATTCAAATATTACTGAAATAAGCAAAACCATTCAAATATTGCTGAATTAAACAAAAACAATCAAATATTGCTGAAATAAACATAACCAATCAAATATTGCTGGAATAAACATAACCATTCAAATATTGCTGAAATAAAGATAACCAATCAAATATTGCTATAATAAAGATAACCGATCAAATATTGCTGAAATAAACATAACCATTTAAATATTGCTAAAATGAATATACACAATCAATTATTGCTAAATTTAGCATAACCAATAAAATATTACTGAAATAAACAGAACCAATCAAATATTGCTGGAATCAAATATTGCTGAAAAAAACCATAGCCAATTAAATATTGCTGAAGTGAGCATAACCAATCAAATATTACTGAAATAAACATAACCTATCATATATTCTCAAAGGCTCCGAGTTCTAAAGGTTTTGGATTTTTTTGTCATTGTCCTCCAATGAAATCCTCTTTATAGATTATTTAATCAACTAATTAATTACATTTAAAGTTGAAATACATCATAAAATAATAATTCAAAAGAAATCGATAATTTTAAAATCTAATTACCTCCGTTCGTAGAAGAGTCAACCCACGCACGGATCTTAGAGTCGCTGTATCCATAAACCAAATAGGCTGTCGTCCTGTTTTCACTGGCGCTAAATATATTTAGTGCTGATCCTTTATTTTATAGAAAAAAAAACACAACAAATTTTAAACTCAAGATTAAACCCCTTATTAATCAATCAATCAATCAATCAAGCAATCAATCAATCCGTCCGTCCGTCCGTCCGTCCGTCCATCCATCCATCCATCAATCAATCAATCAATCAATCAATCAATCAATCAATCAATTCATTCATTCATTTATCATTTCATTATTTCATTATTATCTAATATTTTATCATTAATATTATTGATTGATTTGATCGATTGTTTTAAGATAGGGGACAGCTGTCATTTAGAATAACATACCTACTCCATCTGCGTAGAAAGTTTTACCACTATACTCCATTTTAGCTCGAACAACAACAATACCGGGATATTCTCCTAGACTATGCTCTAGTTCATAAAACGAGTCGCTAGCTGAAATAGAAATAAAAAAAATCATACGGATTTTTAGGCGGTGAATATGATGTGACATGTACTGAAAACAATCAATAACGACCGGGGTGATAGCATATCACATCATATACACCACTGAAATATCAATCGCCTCGTTCATTGTTGATTTTTGCAGTACATATCACACCGGCTTCATTTAAAACGTCATTATCTGTTACCTGTTATATTATATCATTCATCATAGCTCTAGCTTTCATTTGGATCATTACTTCTGCTTTTTAACTCATTGACCCCTGATAGTAATTATCCAATTGCCCCCTGATAAGAACTGATAAGCCATCCCCTGTGTATGTTATTGATTTTATCTACACTGTCTCCCTGAGATTAATTTTATTGGTACACTGTTTATTGGGGGTACTTTACTTGAATGGCTATGATTGACACATTTTATGATCCAATTAACAATAAATTTTGGCACACATGCTGATCATTTGAATTAGCCACATGATGATATAATTTTAAATGTATGAGATGTCAGATAAACCCACACAATTAAAGAGGAAAGAAGCAACTAACAGTTATTTTTTTATTATTATTAAATATCAACAATAATTAGTTTTAATTCATTGTAAACCTTTAATAAACAAAACTTTTTTTAGAATTTTTTATAAAATGTTTTTCCACTTAAAGTGTTTAATTCATGGTATATAATAATTATAATTTAATCCATTATCATTGTAATCCTTGCAAAATATTTCACACCTACACCCAAATTTACGCTCTTTCCATTTTAGGTAGAATTCAAAACAAATATCTTTTTAATTCTTTATAATGATAATAAATTAAAAATTTTCTCTGTTTTAAATAAATAAATTATATACAAGTTAAAACTAATAAACTCCATTTTATTACAGTCATGGCAAATAGTTCACAGGACTATTTAATTATTTTTTAATTTTTAGTTGGTGTACGGACATAATCCCCTTCAGTCAAAATCCCTACTTTCATTTTCTAAACTACTTTCTAATGTCAAATTCAAACTTATTTCATTATCAGAATCCAATGGATTATCCTTCGTATCGGTCTAAAATATAAGCTCAAATACTGACGGCCGTTTTCGTCGTTTTCCATGATTTTTTAACTCAAATTAATGTTATAACCATTCAAGTTACAAATTTTTTTTTTTCTTCTCTCCGTGATCATCAGTTTTTCTATATTCAAAATGTAACACAATTTCTGATTGGCTAATATTTAAATACTCTTGGGGAATACCTTGAAAACAACCAATGATTTACGACGCTACAACGTGGCGACCGGGAAAGTAAGGCAAGTCTTATCTAGCCGCATATATGTGGCATGCAGGACAGGTTTGTAAAGTCGATATCGACTCGTTTATCGTGTGGCGTTAATGGTATATGAGAGAAGTTTAAACCGACGCATTATCGTGGCGTTAGGGGTCAATGAGACGCTAACAGACATTTTTTAGGTTTTATTATGCTCCCGAAGGATGCATAAAGTCGCGCTTTGTCCGTCCGTCTGTCTGTTCCACATTTTGGGTTTTGGGTGCTATATATACGAGAACAAAAGAGAACAATAAGGTTCACTTACATTGATCAAAGGGTTAATAGGCTAGAGCCCTCTTAAAATCAGACTTGAAAGAAAATAACAAAAATAAGTTTCTAAACGGCCAAAAATGTTGGAACATGTCCGGCTGGTGTCGTCCGTCCATCCGTCCGCTTTTTCTTGTCCGAGACATAAACTTCTGAAACAACAAGAGTATCCAACATGATATTTTGTGGGATAGATAAATCTCATTAGATAGATGTGCAGTGCAAAAAGAACCGTAACTCTGCCTTGCCTGATTTTAAAGTTTTCGCCCTTTGTTCTTTTTTACACTTTGAACTTTGTCCGGGACATAACTCTTAAACTAAAAGAGTTTTAAGCAACAAACGTTGTAGGCAGATAGATCTCATTAGATAGATGTGCCGCGCACAAGAACCATAATTCGGTCTTGCCTAATTACGGAGTTATTGCCCTTTGTTCATTTTTACACTTTGAACTTTGTCCGTTACATAACTCGGGGACTATAAATGATATGAACAGGACACTTTGTATGCAATTAGGTCTAATAGGGTAGATGTGTAGTTTAAGATAACCGTGACTTTGTCTTGTTTTTTTTTCAATTACCATGCATAATTGGGGGCTATATTTTTTAAAAAAAAGAACGCACACGCACGCTATATTCGTAATAATCCTAAATAAGCATAAAGACGCCAGGGAAAATGGACTATTTTAACTTTTATTTATGCGTTAAATTGACGTTTCTTCAGAATAAAGACAACAAACCAGACGTCATGTAAAGTCATATCGTCGCTTTCTTTGACGGTTATAAAGAAAATATACATTATAAGGGAAATAAAATATGATGAATAAACTCTGAAAACCTATTTTTAGAAAACAAATACAAAATACAGAAGTGCATATACTCTGGTATTGACCCGTTAATTCTCACAATAAAAAAAAGTGCGACTAAACTAATCGAATCGAAGAAAGGCATAATAATAACAATTATAATATAATAATAATAATAATAAATAATAATAATATAATAATAATAATATAATAATAATAATAATATTAATAATATAATATTAATAATAATAATAATAATGATAATAATAATAGCAATAATTATAATTATAATATCAAACAGTCACATTTGATAATAGTACTGATATTATAAGCTCTCACCTTTAGAAGTATTAGCCCTCAGTTGTGTCGTATTATGTAATATATCTGGTTTTGGAAGTGAAGTTCGGCTTTCCTTGGTCCGAACTTCTAACATAATCCGACATTTATCCCAGCTGCTACGCTGGCCAGCTCATTTACCATTCTCTTACTTGTAAAAACAAAACAATTGGTTTTATAAAAACAATGCATTATTCTATGCTTGAGGGAGTAATACATCTTTTATGTCATTATTTACCAATTTTAACTTTATATTCAGTATCTATTATTCTTCAAATATATTCTATCGAATGTAATAGGGACTTCTCAGGGGTTTATTGACAGACGTTGGTTCGTAAAGATATTCCTGTTCGGGATTTCGACCTGATCATTGTACAAGTCTATATTCCGGTTATATCTTGAAATCCTTACAGGCACGTTAACGAAGTTTAGTGCTCGTGACTTATGTAGGGGACCATCACATATCATTGAACAACTAAATAATCTCATGATTTTATTTTGATTAATACACTCAAAAGCGTTTATGACTATTGTAAGCCAATGTATTTCTAATGCGTGCTGATCCTTTTCAGATTTACGGGCAATGTTTATTCTTAGTTGGAACTATGGAAATGACCTTGCAGATTGTCATATTGACATTAAATTGTTTAAAGAAATACTATGCGCAAACCAGCTTTATTTGACCCAAAATAAGGAACGCAGATTTCCCATGCAAAGGTTTGTAAGCTGTCTATTTTATTTTAAATACAGCACATACTTGCAGTAAGAATTTTTATAATATTTTCAATAAATTTCAGCAGTAAAAATCATTTATATTCACAAGGAAGATACATAGCTAAATTTTGAATTTACAAGAGCCAAAAAATTGTTCAAAAGTTGTTTCATCGATAGTTTCAACCACTTTTGTTAAGTCCATATTTCGATACTTGATGAGAAATATCTGATCACACTGCCTTCAAAATGAATTATATTACACTATGTAAATGGAATAGTCGACGCACTTGGATATGACTCAGTTCAAACTCTAACACATTGTAAGAATTTAAAGCTGATTGAGAAACAGCAATTTAGTTGAATACAAATATCAAAATGAAAGAACAACACTGGTATTGATGTTGATATTGAAATCATTGACAAGGAAAAAAACCTAGGTTGTAACATCTAATTTGAAATTTGATGAGCACATCGGTTTCACTTTTAATAAAGTTAACTCTCATATAGGTTTGCTAAAAAGAAATTCTATCCACATGGATAAGAAGCAATTTTTGTTATTGTATAAAGGATTTTTTTTAGACCAATCACTTATTATAGAAATATCATTTATTACTCTGTAACAAAAAAAAACAATAAGTGGTAAATACCCAAAAAAGAGCTACAAGAACCATTCCTGAACTAAGAGGACTCACATATGAACAAAGATTGAATTACCAACTCTTGATTATAGACGCCAACGTGGAGATATGATACAAGTTTTTAAACTTATCCACAAAATAGACTATTTTTGACTTTGAAAAGTTGTTCAAATTATCTGTTACAAATCATGAAATCCGAGGACATATTTATAAAATAGAAAAGTTAAGGCCACTAAAAGCAATAAGACAAAATTCCCTTCGCTCTATTCGCTTAAACGAATGAACCTATCTTCCCCCAGCTGAAATAGTTCTTATCTCAAGGATGTAATGAGTTCAAATCTAAATTAGAATAAACCATTTGGAGTGAAAAAAAGATTTCAAACATCGACGAAAGTTATTTATATGAGTAACCAATACGGACGCGGACCGACAAGAAATACAGAACTCATAGGGAATGATAGGGCGACTAATAAATGTTTCCCATACATCACAAAAGGTATATGCCACCATATTCTTGTGAAAAGTGGAGCTAAAGGGGTGAAAACGGAAGAGAGATTTACAACTTTATTTAGCAAGCCTTACTTATTGGAAAAAGACGAGTCATGGTTGCCTAATAACCATCCATGGAATTTTTTAAGGTTTTGTACGTTTACAAAGCTATTCATCAATAGGACATAAACAACTGTACTTTCCCCGTCTAAAGTTCGTACAAGCCGTCCGGGAGGAAAACCTACAAAATAAAATCGAAATATTTATAACGTTATGATAAACCTAACACAGTTGAGGACAGAATTTAGCTCCTCTACAGTTCTTAAAAAAAGTAAACACTTATCAAAATATAAAATGTGATTAATACTTTGATTTCTGTATTTTCTCTTCCATATACAGTCTAACCTGTTAACAAAGGCCACCCAAACGAGATTCCAAACCTGGCCTGAATTTTATTTTGGGGCTACTCTGTTCAACTAAATCAACGAACGGTTGTACATCATGGTATGATCTTTATTCAGAGGATGGTCTGTTAAACAGGTTTGCTTTTTATGCTAGGAATTTTTTGTTGTTGTTGTTATTTTGTTTTAAACATATGTTCATGTATTTGTTGCAAATATTGATGTTTTTGCGATGAGCTGTTTTGTTTCTTATTGCAGGTATCCACAGCTTATGTTCATGTGTGTATATTTAAACAATTATAACAAAAATTGATTCAGGAAGCTCACATTAGTTTCTAACCTTAAGCTGAGTAACAGAAATGACTAAAGTATAGTTTGAAAGATCACTATTGAAAACATATTTCGACTCTACCTATAGCATGAAATATGTAGTTATTAACTGCGACCTGAACATCGACTATCACCGGTACTGCCCCAAGACCATGTTCAAATTCCAGGTGCCATCTGGATCTGCCCATATTCATAAATATCCAGTCACTGTCATAGTCAGCTGCAGGTAAGTACTTTCCTATAGCTGCAAAGACAACACAAACAATTAAGGAAAAAGAAGAGGAAAAGATTTAGAAATTTTAAATCCATTTGTACGTTTTTACTATTTGCTATTTTTGGATATATGAAAGAGCTAACACCCCTGGATAATTTCTTTTTTTCTTTATTTTTGTTTCTTTCTTTTTTGTTTCTTTCTTTCTTTTCTGTCTGTCTTTCTTTCTGTCTTTCTTTCTGTCTTTTATTCTTTCTTTATTTCTTTTCTTTCTTCTTTCTTTCTTTCTTTCTTTCTTTTTTTTCTTTCTTTCTTTTTTTCTTTCTTTCTTTCTTTCTTTCTTTCTTTCTTTCTTTCTTTCATTCTTTCTTTCTTTCTTTCTTATCATTCATTCTTTCTTTTTCTTTCTTTCTTTCTTTCTTTCTTTCTTTTCTTTCTTTCTTTCTTTCTTTCTTTCTTTCTTTCTTTCTTTCTTTCTTTCTTTCTTTCTTTCTTTCTGACGCTTATCTATTATCTAATATTTGTTTCATATACATCAAAAATACTGTTAACATACATTATAATTTCCTTCATGGTCATCATTTTTTCACTTTGGTCTTATTGAAAGCCTAATTGTTAAAGATTTGTTGTATGTACTCCATGGGCAGTGCATAAGCCATTCTACTAGTTTATCAAAAATGAGCGACGTCACGACAAAACCAACATAGTACGTTTGCGACCAGCAGGGATCTAGACCAGCCTGCGCATCCGCGCAGTCTGGTCAGGATCCATGCTGTTTGCTTACCAAGCCTATTACAAGTGGAGAAACTGACAGCGAACAGCATGGATCCTGATCAGACTGCACAGATGTGCAGGCTGATCAGACTGCACAGATGTGCAGGCTGATCTGGATCCATGCTGGTCGCAAACGCACTATGTTGGTTTTGTCGTGACGTGGCTCAAACGTGTCATTTCTGTTGTAAAGTCGCGTTTGATGACTTGTTTCCCCCGAGTCTCTTAACAAAGAAGAACAAGACGCTGTTTATATTGTTGTTGTTGGGGTTGTTTGGTAATGATAATGATAATTATCACTTCACAATTGCATAACTACCTTTGCCACCTTCAACCATGTCATTTCTTGTAAGCCATCGTTACACGTGACCTATATCTGTTGTCTATGCCGGCTGTCTAAATTACAGGTTCGCGTGTGGTTATCCCCAGGCCAATCTATCCGACGGCAGCCGGTTGCAAGTCTGAGTTCTACGTATGCCTTTCTGAAATAATAATTAATTAAACATAGTTCTTGCTTTCTTAATATGAGCCGCGTGCAGTATAGTTTTTTTACTTCCGGGAAGAATGTCATGAAAATACGCCTTGATCAGAACGTTAACATTATTAGCAATCTTGTTGTAGAATCTGAAGCGCATACTTGTACAACGTTACAGACATTTAGTTCTTAATTGTATAATAGGCACTTTGTTCTTACTAATCATAAGTTTACAAATATATATTTATTTCTTTGTTTACTGGACAAACAAAAGCAAGAAGAAATATCTTAAAAGTACTTTGCATGTTTCTCAATTGAAAAAAACATACAGTCAACTTTGTGCCAAAAACCACCTCTGTATAAAGATAACACTGAAAATAAAGGCCACTTTTTTATTTCCATTCATTGTTAGAATGCAATACAGTCACCTCTAAATTAAGACCTCTTATCTATAAAGGTCATTTTTTTATTCTCGTCCATGGGTAAAATTTGTCCACAGGTTTGATTTTATAGGGTAGAAATGTTAATTCTGCACTCTCTTATGTTGTGGTTGATTTGTTACCCTTTTGTGCATTGCGTTGTTGCATGCGACAACACAACAAATATCACCATTGCCTTTTCCTCTTGTCGCTGCGACACGCGCCAAACTGCGGCGCATTGTCGACATGTCGCTCTGCCGCTTGGCTTTTATCGAAGGGTTGGCTTCTTATCCTGTGTCGCATGTCACGTTGTCGCCAGCATCAAAGCGCCCCTAAGTAAGTTCTTCCATTTTCCCGCGAGACAACGCGCCATTTAGCGTGTTTCTCTAGCGACAGGACGACAAAATGACAAAGCGATAACGTTCCGTTTGGCACTTTGCAGTGTTGTCGCCAGCGATAATGCGGCGCGCAAGAGTGTAACAAATCATCCACCATACACATACTATCTCGCAATAATCGTTCGTATATCATCTTCACTTCCATCATTTTTTCTTCATATTTCTAAAGCTGTAAGTAGGTCAACATCGATTTCAAATAAGTTACGCCAAAAGAAAAAACAACACATTTGATTATGTTCAAATAGCCTGAAGAAATACCTTTTGGTAAACAGCTTGGAATATTCTCCCAGTATCCAAACTTATGACAAGTTATACTATACCGCTCATAGTCATAATTGTAAAATTTCTTCTTCTGTTTTATAACGTAACCCTCGTTACATCGTACTATCGCGTGCGATCCCGTTGATGTCCCGTTATATGACGTGTTGGCAAATCCATTTGGAATGACAGGCGCTGAACAACCAATATTTTCTTTTGATATAAATAATAAAAAAAAAATCTTAAGTTTATATATCTAACAGCGAGACTTTATCTTGCCTGTATTCTGCAATCATTACAAGAATGTATCGAGAAAGAATAGCTTTTTATGTAGTAACGCAAGTACATGTATTGCATGATATACAAATATACACAATATTAGGAATATTCCCGAAATATAGTTGATTCGTTCCTGGTATCAGTGACAAATTTATGATTGGCTTATTGAGTTAAAAATAATGTTTTATTTTTAAATAATGCATCAAAGCCAGCGGCGCTACTTAATGTTAACAAATAAATAAAAGTATCTATGTATTCAAGCTTAATAAACCTACCTTCAAATACCCAACCTAATATATAAACGGATTCACTATGAGACACTTCTGTATTCTTTCCATTGCCAAATGATTCTGCGATAAATATCGAAGAAAAATTCTCGGAAAACTTTGGTTGCCAGAAATTCAATTTGTATCTATAATCGTAGGTTAACATGTAAGACAGGCCTCCGACGGATATGGGGCTTGCAGTATTTCCGGTTGCAGTTGGTTCTGGATACCCAAGATACATTCCGGCCGGATATCGAAAACCTACATTTGCTCCTTCCGGTTTCTCTGCAAGCACCTGCAAAATTGATTTATTGAAATAGTTTATTCAAATCATTGTTGATAATTTCTTCTTGAGATACTTTGATAGACTGGACTTTTTCTCTTCTTTTGCTTTATAATTTGAATATTTTTAAAAGGTTACAAAGTTATATCTTATGAAATATTTTTATATATGAAATAGGTAAAGCCTATGAGCGGGGAAGTCCTTAAAAAATATCGTTCGTTTTCCTCGTTGTAAAGGTGTCATTCGGTATTTTATACACCGCTTCCGTTTTTACTCGGAACACTTCGACGATAATTAGTAGACCGAAATGTTGCGATTGTTCCGTTATCGGAATACTCCGCCTATTATTTACTGAGTTACACTGAAAATGGCGGCACCCAACTAGAAATGACACTGAAAATTTCCATGAAAGGCAAAATAATCTTTATATTTTTTTTAATTTGATTTCCTTTTAAATAAACACGTGTAGTCCATAGCCGGGCAGGGCAAGTCAAAGCCCGGCCCGGCCCCGAGGTCCCGGCCTTTGACTTCGGAATTCCCCCTATAAAATGTATCAACAGAAAAAATATATTGCCTCCATAATCTTACGGTCGATTCTCGGAAGAGTTGAAATCACCCGATAATAATATGAAATTAGGCAAAGCCTATAAACGGGGAATTCGGTAAAAAAATCCTTTCATTTTTCCTTTTTAAAGGTGTCATTCGGTATTATATGTACCCGCTTCCGTTTTCACTCGGAACACTCGACTATTATTATTAATACGAAAAGTTGAGATTTGTTCCTTTATCGGAATACACCGCCTTTTATCATTGAGTTACATTGTAAATGGCGGCGCCTAGCTAGAACTGACACTAAAAATTTCATTGATAGGTATAGAATTCTATATAGTTTTAATTGTTTTTTATTTGATTTTCTTTTAAATATACACGTGTAGTCTATAGCCGGGCAAGCCGGACTTCCCCGTATAAAGAATTGAATCAAACGTAACATTTAAAAATATTCATGGTAAATATTTACAGACACACGAATGAGTGATGGTTCTAAGTCATAGTCAACATCTACGTCCCACCATGAGGGGAGCTCGCCCCTCGTTTTTTCTGTACTAACACGTGCGTCGTAAAACGGTGTAATGGTAGAACATTTCCAGGCAAAAATCTCCGCCTCTCCGACATATATGACCATATCAAACCAAGTGTGCTTCCGGCCATCGAATATTGCTGGGCAAAAATGATGTGAAATAAATTGATAAAAACAACATCCAAACTTTATAATTATATCTTTATCAAAGTAGCTTTAAAAATGTAATTTTCAAGGAGATACATGGAAAAAGAAAATGAATTGTCTTTTTAGTACCGTTTTGGAAACTTTAAAGATCCTGTATGTTGTAATTGAGGTTGTATACCACACTTTAATGAACTTTCATATATGCATTTAATAAAGCTTATAAAACAATTTTTCAAACATCCAAGAATATGTAAAATATGTGCTGCAAATATTTGTGCATATTACATGTAATTATTGAAGTATATCCATTCATTTCTTATTGAAAAATTTGACTTAAACTTTTTAGAAAATATATTTATAATTACCTCCCTTTATTTACATGAAATATTGAATTCGGTAATATCTTTATAAAAAATGCTTTTTGGAACTTTGAATATTGATAAATCTTAATTTTAGCACCATATTTATGATATATAACCATAAAAAAACTGTGTTACATACACAGGATCTTTAAACGTACAACAAAATAAGAAGCATTTGAGAAATAGCAATAAATTTATTTCTGTGGGACAATGGGTCTTTAAGATTAACGGAATACGTCCTATTGTTATATGGAACATGCAATATACATTCTTAACTAAGTGCTTATAGTGAAAAATATCTGAAAACGTCGGACTATTTTAATATAACATACCACCAAGGTTTGACGAGTCTACCCACATTCTCACCGTGTTGTTACTATAACCATATACAAGGTAGGCGTTTGTTCTGTCAGATACATCCGCGTATACCTGCATGCTTGATCCTAACAAATAAAATCTTCATTTAACATAACATTCATTTAACAAACTTAGTGACAAAAATGTTCCCTATAATTTATTATGTCGCGGTTACTTTGTAGCATGTTGCTAGTTAAGGACTAGAATAGTAAAAGACAGACACAAAATTCATAAACAGGCAAATATGTTTCTTAAAATCAAGGGCCATAACTCAGACAAAAATATAGTTCAACTGTTAAACCCATTAAACATGCACAAAGCACTTCGGGTAATGATCATTCCTGTAAATTTTGACTAACATTGTATAAAAAGTATATGAAAGTAGTCCAGGCAAAACTTAAGAAGTAAACTGTGATAAAAAAACACTGAAGTAGAAAATATCAAATATGTTCATAACTAGACTTGGTAATGAAAATTCCTGTAAAGTTTAGATGAAATTGCTAAAATAGCTGTTGAGCAGTAGTCCGACAATATTCTGTGATGGACGGACAGACAGACAAACGACGGAGAAGTGATTCCTATATGTCGCCCCTACCCTGTAGCAAAAATAGCTCTCATTATGTATCACACTTTTGTCGTACGGTCAGAATGTATTCGTGCGCACGTGAGTTAACAACGCCGTCAGCCATAATCAAGTTGTTCCCATGATGCATTTTGATACGAACTATAATAAGACATGGCATTTCATCAAGATTATGACTTACTTCGGCGTAGGAATCTAAAACTATAAATAGACAAGTCACGTGACTTACCAACGCCGTCAGCCATTATCAAGTTGTTCCCATGATGCATTTTGATACGAACTATAACAAGACATGGCATTTCACCAAGATTATGACTCACTTCAGCGTAAGAATCTGAAACTATTCATATTACAGTCTTACTAAAATAATATAATAAACTCATTATACTTATTATGCATATATGAATTCGATGTGAAAATGAGCTGAATTAGCTCTATAAATAGGTGATGGTGTTGGTAGTTCTCACTCCGGATCACGACAGTAAGCCACATTGAATTCACCAATGTACAGTTCAACCACCGCATCGTTCCTGGGCAGGCTGTCAAGCAATTTACCAGTACTAGTTGCTTTCATTTTCGCAAGGAACTGAAACTTCTGTACATGCCAGAGCAGAGGTACAGTGCGAATGACCGTAGAAAGGATTTCATGATGAATCGAACCCGGGTCGCCCGATTCAGTCCAACGCTCTACCTTTTGAGCTAACCGGACGGCTATTAGCTCTATATTTCAGATGAATGACTCTTATAATGGCCAATCTCCAATAATTGAAAGTGACAAAAGTTTAGTAAAAAATAAAATAAAAAAATAAATAATTCATAAAAAAATAAAATAAAATGGCATTAAAAACTGCCCCACTCTTGATCGATAAATTTTGAGGGCTGTTAAAAAAACTCCATTGAGTCACATGATTTATTGTTCATTCACGTGCAAATGAAAACAATGATACCAAACTGTAAAATAGTTTTAGTTTAATATGCTAAATTTATTTTAGTCCGATTGTGTAAGTGTACACGCATACACGATTTTTGCTTAATTTTTATTTTACATGAGTGTGTGGGATGGAAGGGAAAGGGGGTATTCGCCACAGTAACATTATAAAGGCCATATGGCGACTTTCCAGCTTAAAGTCTGGTGCCCCTCTGTACATTATTTCAGGCACCATGGTAGAACCGCCGACGTTCCGTAAGCGAGCTGGATAGCTTCCGCCAAAGATCGTCCTTTTTCGTGAAGCAATGATCGTCTTTTTTCGTGAAGTCTTGTAAAAAGGGTATTTTGCCATATTGTAACTTCAACCTTTTGAAGTATTAGCTTTCATCTGTATTCCTGATTGGTGGAAGTCTACCACCGGAAATGACGATTGTTTCCAAGCTCGTACGCGCACATGCGCATTTCCCATTATCATTATTAATTTGTCGCCTTCATAGTGCCTGTTTACTGAAAATAAATCAAATTAAACCGAATGTCATTGATTTTTGTTATTCTTGAATCTCTCTTTCCGTAAGCGTATAATGCTATATATTTGCCGCACGTAGTTAAGAAAATTATTGAATTATTGTTTAAGTACTGAACAAGAACATACATGTTTGTATATTCCCTTAAGAGCAAATGACACATAGACGGAATTATTGCTACAGTACATTGCTGCGATACTTATGGAACGCGTAATATTTTGTTTCGGTTCATTATATTCTGCGTACATACAATTTTCATGTGTGTTAAAAAGCAGAGACAAGCAGTATTACAATCCTTTTGACGCAGATAATGAAACAATATTTTTACAAAATAACACGATTTTACTGTTTATAACTTTTGTTATAGCTTGATAGCATATAATATATGAGCCGCGTCACGACAAAACCAACATAATGGGTTTGCGACCAGCATGGATCCAGACCAGCCTGCGCAACCGCGCAGTCTGATCAGGATCCATGCTGTTCGCTTACAAACCCTAGAACAAGTAGAGAAACTGACACCGAACAGCATGGATCCTGATGCGCAGGCTGGTCTTGGTCCATGCTGGTCGAAAACCCATTATGTTGGTTTTGTCATGACGCGGCTCATATCACTTACTTCTCGGAATAAGTCTATATAGTGGATCTTCTACAGGAGTTGTCGACACATTTACATACATGGCATCATAAATATATACCACTGGTCCAGAACGCTCCTTTGGGTGGTCAGGTCGGAAACCTAGAAAAGGTAACAGTTCAATGAAGATTCTACAGGTATTTATATGATTTTTGACCTTGAAACTTGCTTTATGAAATATTTGATGGGCAAAATACATGCAAAAAGCCTTAAGAAACAACTTATTTACTGATTGGACGCAATGAAAATAATGTATTCTTAATACGTGACAAAAAATCTTCATTATTTTCAAGCCGCATGACTCTAGATCCATGCTACTGTTAAAAACAAATTTTAAAATATATTAGTATTATAAGTATTATGCTGTGAAGTGAACTTAATTAGTTACTAAATAATATATCGGTCATAAGTGAGACAGGTTATTCAAATGCAAATACTTCCATCATTCCAGTAGTAAATACGTACATTAAAAAAAGACTTTGTTTTGCAATTATCTGGGGGAATACATTACTTTTAACGACAAATTTAGTTATAAAATTATATTACCTGACGCCGGGAATATATGTTCTTTTATTTTCACAGAGACGTCTACAAGAACTGGTATTTCGCCTAGACCATGGTCAATATTGAGCCTGGCAACATGTTCAAGGCCATTTTTAATTGGTAACCATCCGCTCTCGAAGTCCGGCCATGGTAATTTTCCGCCTTATATAAGACTAAGAAATTATTATGCATTTAAAACGATCAATCAATATGGAAACAGTTTTGCTTTCATGAACACATAGCATAATACTAACAGGGAAATTTGTTTGATATCACGGGTTCCCTAACCTGTGAAAAAAGAATCCGTTCTATTTTGCTATTTACTCGGTATATTGTAAGAAATTTATTCTAAAAATTAATGAACGATTCCCGGTTATTGATATGCAACTGTCTAACTTCATTTGTATAACTAAAGATTAAAAATAAGACTTTGAAGCAGACAGACAGACATATACTTTCATTTACACCAGTTTCTATAAACAAGAGAACAATACGATTTATTCACTTTGAAAAATTTAGTTGTACAACGTATATACATTATGATAGCAGTTTTCAGATTATGATATAAATGTATTTAAATTGATTGTTTTTCGGATTAATTAATATCATTCAACAGGGGTCAGTTTGAAGATGTGAGAATATTCACGTTTATATGATGTTCATCAAACAATAGGCTTGTAGCTAACTCGAGTCTAAACATATTTTCAAGTTAAGTACACTTTTAAAGATCCTGAATGTTCTTATTAAGGATGTAACAAACAAAATATTATATGTGAGTCGCGTCACGACAAAACCAACATAGTGCGTTTGCGACCAGCATGGATCCAGACCAGCCTGCGCATCCGCGCAGTCTGATCAGGATCCATGCTGTTCGCTATCAGTGTCTCTACTTGTAATAGGGTTGGTAAGCGAACAGCATGGATCCTGATCGGACTGCGCGGATGCGCAGGCTGGTCTGGATCCATGCTGGTCGCAAACGCATTATGTTGGTTTTGTCGTGACGCGGCTCATATGTATATCCTGTACTGTACAGCAAATGTTTATGTACATATAATTAAAGCTTGTGAAATTTTATATACAGTTTGTATGTATATAATTATACTTCTAAACTAATTTTCAAACATCGAAGAATGTGCAAAATTCATACTGCAAATATTTATTCACATTATATGTAATCGTTAAAATATAATTATGCATTCTTTTTTATTGAAAATTTGTATTTAACTTTTATAGAAAACAAATTTTTAATTACCTCCCTTTATTTACATGAAAATGTGAATTCGTTAACATCTTTACAAATAATGCTGTTTTAAACTTACAATAATTGATAATTCTTCATTTTGAGGATCAGATTTATGATATATAACCATAAAAATTGCGTTACAGAATCTTTATGTTTTATGTATTTCGCAACTTGTTGTTGATTATTTACAGATTATGTATCAAATAACAGACTTACCGATCACAATCAAAAACTGGATTGATAACGCAAATAACGACACATTCACTCTTGTGTCACACATCTGAAATCACACAAATTCAATAGATTCCAGTGATTAATACACTTCAGCGACCGTTGTAAAATGAAATTTCGATTCACACATTCAATACAGTGCAACTAACCTTTTAACACCTGGGAAATATCTTTACCATACCGTAATCACGATCCATGAAATTAATCGTTGCACTGTCGAGTATTGTTGCAAATTTGATTAGTATATCCATTTGGTAGTTCGTATATTTTTACACATTTATTATAAGTCAAGTGTTTAAAGAACCTTGACATTCGTCTTATATTTGTTTAATGTAAACGTGCAATTTAGTTGATAACGAAGTATGCAACATACTTGTACGTGGTAAACATTGATATAAACTGTAAATATTTTTCATTTCTATTGGTTGAAATATATCATTTTGAAATAGTATCTTATCAATAAACACATTCCCCCGGTGTTTCCTCAAGCCGAAATACAGTTCTGATTTATCATCATGATTAACTGAACGGACCGGAATCTGTCGCCTGAGTATTATCAACAAACAAAATAGTTAACAAGTAAAATGGTTTCCTGCGGGGAAAATTTTAAATGATATAAAGATATTTCATTGAACTATTTTCAACATTGTTTCGGGGGGGGGGGATAAATAAACGTTTGTATCAGGAATATAGTTGACAATAATCGATCAATACAGAAGAAGGTCTTTGGAAACCGGTGACCGTTGAAGACCGGAGAAGGTCGAACATAAAACAACTATTTCTTTTTAAGAAAATGATTAAATAGGCCTACCATTTTATGAATAATTCCGAGCAAACAAGGAATAAAGTAAACACACAAGTTTACGCAGAAAATATCTCTATTTATTATGGCAGATGCCACTACGAATATTTTAATTTGTAGATTTGCAGTATAAACAATTTATTGTTTGTAAATTTTGAGATAGATTTTAAAGATACATTGATCATTTTCAAACACATCATTCAAATTTTTCCACCTTAAACGGTAAAATAATTATAGAAAATTAGAAATATCATAGTTTTTTGTTCTTAATTAGGTGTAATTCGGACTAATTCCCTAGATGTAAAATCCGTAACGTACCGGCAAACGGTATTTAGCTAGGTTTTCGAAAAGGTCAATTAACCAATCATGTACGGTTTACAGATCACGTGCTCCTCCATGTACCAAAAACAGGTCACGTGCTCCTCCATGCCTCAAAAGTTAAACGCGAACCAATACCCTGCGGTCTCCAGACCGCAGGGAATAACTAACTACATGGGTGGCGGGGGTTGGGGAGACAGAAACATCGTATATTTCGTTAAATGTCACAAATTAAGAATTACCCTTTTCAATTTAAATTTAAAACGCAAGGGTTTTGTTTAATTTGTCATATGAAATAGACCTTTAATTATATTATCTGAATGAATATTTAAAGTAAAATACATGTATTGTGAAGAGAAGTACAGAAGTAATTTATATACAATCGGAACATCTCGGCTTTTATCAATAATAAACCCGAACATAATACGGATTGAAAGTTGTTCTACCACCTACAAGCGTTTTACCGGTAGTTCAGGTATTTAACCACAGATACTATTTTGCCACAGTCAGATTTCAAAAAATTAATTCTTGCAATCATCACTATAGATGCAAATTTTCAACTCAGTGTGTCTTTTCTTTAAAATGTTAGGCTTTCAAACTAGCTCGGTCGAAGTTAAAATGTTGTTGTCGTAGGCAGAATTGTATTTTCGAGGTTGTCGACATTGACGGAAAATGCTCTGACAGAAAATCAAGTTTAGTCTTTTCACATGCTTTTATTATCTTTTAATATTTATTCGTATCGTATTTTTATTCACATTTGAAGCAACTTTCATTTGTATTACTTTTATGATGTTAATGCGAAAGGTGCTTCGAAAAGCATATTTATCTCGCTTCGAGACATAAAGAGAATATCTAAAAAATCCTATTCTTATATATTGTTATATCACTCACTGTTGAGTTTATAGACATAGGGTTATTATTTTTATTTCCATGTAGATCTAATGTGAAAAAAGTGTAATGTGGCATTAATTTGATGGACTTATTTTTATTTAATATTACGTATACTGAGTGTCATTAAAGTATTTCTTCGTTGCACCTATCGAACTGACAACTTTTCCATCTCGAGAAAATATAACTTAAATGCAGATTGAAAAACTGTAAGATAAAATTTGTTTAAACTTTGAATCACCTTAATCTAAAGCAATAATGTAAATATGACAACTGTTAACAACACTTTACCTCTATATTGCTGGAACCGAAATGAATTTTTCCGTATGGAGACAAACGAAGGCGAGACTGCGCATCCTTGCAGACAGAATCGACTTTGTACCAATTGCTGTATAACTTTAGAAATTTTTATCTTCCTTGATTTATAGAGTCCTAATAAAAGGGGAGTTTGAAACGCGCATTTTGTGAATTTAGCAGATTCAGATTAGACTCGCAAATAATCATATATTCACTCTTTCCAGTGTTAGAATTGTCGGCTGCAAAAAGTCTAGTTTGTTTTCTTGCAGGCCATTTTATTACCTTTCCTATTATTACAGGTACGATAGATAGGTCGAATATAGAAATTAAATACGTATTTTGCTTTGAATGCCCTCAGGTAAATATTTGTAAAAAGGTGGTGCAGAATTATCTCCCATTTTAAATGCATATAAAACGTTTTTGAAACCGTTCGCGTTTTACAAAAATGGACTAATTCAATTACATACATTGAATAAATGAAGTTAAAACTGCAAACTCAAAATTTTCAAAGAAATTAGGTATGCTCTTTAAAAATTTCCATAGCCAACTTAAAAGGTCGAACATTGATATCCCGCTTGGTTTGCATAAAAAGTGCTGTGTATAAATCAAACGAAAACATAATTGTGAAGATTAGCCTTATCGATAGCAATATAAGGGAATGGCATATTTTAGTCTGCCCTATATAAGGGCGGACAACTCTTTGTCCCTTTCTTGAATGAAAGGGGGAAAAAAGGAATTCTGTGATGCGTGTATGTGGTCGCACGGTACGGTCACTTCCTTACATTATGTCCTCGATGCATGTATGTGGTCGCATGGTCGAAATTCTCTTAACAAATGTTATCTTTTTTTCATTAAGATTTGGGTTGGGACTGCTCATGTAAAAAAATTAACTTGTAGTACGGAGTTGAAAAGCTCACTGTTACTTACTCCCAGTTAAAACTAAAATTGAGTTTCTCATATTTAGGAAAATAAACCATTCTATAACTTACTCACTCTTAAAAGGGAGTTATAAAAGCATAATTAGGAGGAAAAATAGTACTTAGAAAGCCTAAATGTAAAATGAAAACCCAATTTTCACTTTCTAGCTTCTAATATAATTTTTATGCGAACAACAAATAAGAATAGTAATAGTACGATATTCAATCATAAAGAACTATATAGATAAGCATTTTTTTTGTTCAAAAATGTTTTTGGAAGAATATCCAAATGATACAGTAGTATTTTTTGCAATATTTGAAATAATGCTTGAAATGTGCCCATTGTAAACCAATCCACTAAAACTCGAGTCGGCAGATGGATCGGGCATTCTGTGGTGACATAATAATGGTGTCAACTCGGTCTGGAAAAAAATTCTTATCGATTTTGAAGTGGCCAATTTCAAGCCATTCCCATTGTGACTGTTTATATGTTAACTGTATCTTTTGCAAGTTTGTACATGAAGTGTTATTTCTGAGTGCTTTAAAAACTGTTTTTGTATATCTTTGCAGGATTTAATTTCTTGTTAGAAGTTTAGAGAAAAAAACAATGCACAAAAATACAAACCAGATTTTATTTGGAATATTTTATAGTGATAACACAAATAAAAAGCTGCAGAAAAAATCCCAGGGTTATTGTATTATATATTGTTCTAAATGTATTGTTGTTTTAAAATTATGGCCATCAGTCATATACCGGATATGCTGTGATAGAAATAAGCCTTCAATGTGATGGATTTGCTGTAGGATAGATTGGGGGACTCTATAATGATCTTTAGACGACCGTCAGACAATTTTGGTCATCTTCGTACCATGACCGCATAGTGGCTAGCAAGTATTAAAGCTGCATGTTATCAATATATTGTTCACAAAATAGTTATCATCTAAATTTGTATGAAAACATCCGTTATATAATGCAGAAATATACCGTTAGACTCTGAATGCTACTTAAAGCCATGTTTATTGATTTTGTCGAAGTTTCTCAGGCAAACATACATTATTTACATTGTACATTCGACTTTGCCGCAATGAAACAGAAGACATTTACGGTTATCAATCTCATTTTTGTTGTCTTGACACAAAAGTAAAAACATGACTTGATATGAAACCCATTTTATTATCCATATGTAGCTATTTCTATTTTTACGAATGATATAAAATGCAGCTTTAATCTCTAAATATAAAGTACTTTCATAATAATAGTACGAGAATAAGAATGTGCGCATAAAATATAACAGATATTGCAAATGATCTAGAGTACAAGTCAAAGTATAAAAAATAATTACACAATATAAAACAAGAATGTACATAATATCAAAAAGTGTATATGATATGATAATGATGGCACGTAACATAAAGAAAATAAACATAATGCATGTATAATTTAGACTGAAGATGATATTATAAAGAATATACATAACATAATAATAAATGCACATAACATTATAAAGTAGGCACACATCACCATAACAGACATTTAATATGCATGTATACTAATGTGTGCACATACTACATTAAAGAATGCACCATATATAATAAAAACATGCAAATTATATTTATAATACAGGTGACAATAACATAATACATGCGCATAATATACGAAAACGAGGTATAATAAGGCAGAAAAGGCGTTCCATACAACTATGATAACTTTTCGTTCGCGCTCGGTACTATGATAACTTTTCGTTCGCGCTCGGTATGGTCTCAACGTTTTGTCAAGATCAAACATAATTGGAATATTAGTTTATCACTGCCCTATTAATTCCTGAATAATTATTAGATTATGTAAAATCTTTTAACTACATTTATTCGTATTATTGTGTTGTTTCAGGAAGTTACAATCGACAACAACACGGTTGCAATAATGATTGCCATTAATAATCGTATGAGACTCCCACTTTCTCTGTTACTTCTTGAAACTTTGTCCTTGTCATCATCAATATCGTCGTCGTCGTCTGAAATTAAAACAAAGTATACTTAAATGACGTCATATATCAAATTGTCCAATTATTTTCCTTCAATAAGACTGTTAACAATTTATTTATGTCATACATTTTATTTACTTTGAGCTTTGTTTGGAACAAAGTGGCGTCACTCACTTATGCTTATATTAGTTCTTATCTATTCAAATATGAATGAATTTGGGCGCCCATTGTCAAATGGTAAACGTC